AAGTCTGCGTCTGTTTCACATTTGGCCCAACGACATCCTTAGAAACACGTTTGCTTGTTTCACCTGCTCCACGGTGGTTTGCGCGGAGCGGTCGAGCCCTCCGATTGGACCAGAGCGGCTGCGGCTGCACAGAGACATGCATGTGTGTGCTGAGCGTACCTCAGGGTGCAGCTTCATGTAGGTCTTCTTCTCGTGGTTGTACCACAGCTGTTGGGGGGTTTTGGGTTTCTCCGGCAGGTCCGACTTCTTCCTCTCCTCGATCAGCTCGGGGTGCTCCTCCCTGCGATCAGCTGACATTAGCCATGTGTGCGCCAACACCGTGACCAGCACTGCTACATGTGACAGGAAGTAGAACTCACTTGAATCGAGCCATGTTCTTCTCGAAGTCTTCTTTCTCACGCTGGAACTCTGTGATGTACTTTTGCTGCGGGAGGACAAACAAACATGTGTTTGGTTTTTGGGGACTCGAACGCGGACTGCGAGCTCGGGTTGTGCGGCTGAGCGCACCTTCTTCTTGTCGGGCAGCTCCTTGTACTTCTTGGACAGGATCTTGGTGAGGTCCAGGTTGCTCATCTCTGGGTGGATTTTGGCGTATTTGGCTCGTTTCTCCATGAAGAAGCGAAAGTATGGCGTCAGAGGCTTCTTCGGGAAATCTGGGTGAGTCTGCACACGAGAGAGGTCAAAGGTCACAGGTGAACCAGCACATGTCCCAGCAGGTTCTGGCTCCAGGGGGCCTCACCTTCAGTTTCTTGCCTTTATACGGGTTCTTCACGAACTCGATGGCGTCCACGATGAGCTCCGTCATGGTTCGGTACTTCCTGACCTGAAACACAGACTCAGGTCAGTTGAACCGTCAGACACACCTTAAACCGAAAAGCTTTAAATCAACACAGCGATGGCGCAGAGGCGTGGTCTTCGGCCAGCGTACCTCAGACGAGACTTTCTGCCACTTCAGGCGACACATCTCGCCGGTGAAGCCGCCAAAACAAACTTTCTCCCAATCGAAGTGCGACTCGGTGGTTTTGTACTTCATGGCGTCTCCGTCAGGCAACAGGGTGCGAATCCTCTCCAGCAGAGTCAGACAGTCCTCCTTACTCCAGTCATCTGAGCAGGGAGACAGCGGTCAGGGCGGGGCCGGCGAGGGCGCGTGCCCCGCGGCCGAACGTCACAGAAAAACACGTTCGTACGTTTTCACAAAAATTGCCAAAATGGTCGTCTGTGAGGACGAAGGTGCACACGGGCGTAACGCTGCAAACACTTACACGCTCATTCCAAGTGTCATCAACTTCCTGCAGTCGCCACCAGCCACTTCCTGTGTGGACGCTGCTTTAGGCCTACATGAACTGACAGGCGAGTACCTGAACACCTGACAGCGCTAACAGCAGGGCGGCGCTTACCTGGTTCAGTCTTGACCCTGGTGCTCTGAGCCGTGGAGACGCTGCTGCTGCCGTTCATCCTGCAGTGACCGACGGAGGAGGCTCCGCCCCTCCCTCTGAAACACAAAATCAAACAGGTTTACTGCAGCAGGAAGTGCTCACGTGACCATCAGTACGGCTCAGCTCGCGTACTTCCTGTTTCTGCCTGTGTGGGGCAGTACCGAGGCCAACAACACCTGATCTAATGCCCTGTTCTGTCTCCACAGGGGGCGCTCTCGAGCTCGTCCTTTAGCCTGACTGCAAGAGGCGTCGTCTGAAACGGGCGCCGTGACAGAGGACGCCCTGTCCTAAATCACTAAAGGACCAATGCGGGTGTTTTACATCAGTGTCAGGTGAGAAAGGCCGCAGGACCAAAGGGGGCTGGATTTAATGTGACCGTGTTTTTACGGCGCCCCCTGCTGACCCGCGCAGCGTTTTGACACGTTTGGCTCTCTGTAGCTCAGAGGAGGCGGGCTTTCGGGGCGGGTCACTCGCCTGTGACAGGCTAGAAGTAAGTGGAGCGTGAGTCACTGAGCAGAATATGTCGCCTGATCACCTGACACGTCACCTGATCCCTGCTGCCCTGTAGGCTAACGGTGACACGTTGAAGGTCAGTGACATCACCTGTTGCTGTAGAGAATGTACCAGGTGTATTTATAGAGGATGACAGCTGGCCGCCACCACACTTTCACACCTTCATCTTCTGCCCAATCAGCTTGCAGCTCACACCATGGCGGCCCAACAGTATGCGAACTTCCTGTAGGCTTCTTTTCATTTACAGAAATCAATCTGAGCATGCTCAGAAACGAGATTCTGCACACGCAGTGAGGACACTGTGTTTAAGAGTCCTCCAGGTGTGGCATGCAGAAAGGCTCCAGAGCGCCACCCTCAGTGATAAAAACGTCAATGCACACTTTAAGCTCTGTGTATGACGTTTGGGTCGTTCCTAAAGCCACGCCCCCACACCTGGGCACCATCACCTGTAGTCAGATTCTTCCGAAGACGCAGCTGCTCTTCACACATCTGTGGCGCCATGGCGGATCCTGATCCTTCGCCACTGGACAAAAAATGATGACTGAGGGTCTGCAGCTGCCTGCACAGGTGTGATCAGAGTGCACGCCCACTCACAGCGCCAGCTACAGGACACAGCCAATCAGAATGTTTCACCTGCAGCAGCTTCACTGCGAGGCTGCCCACCTGTGTGCGGCCATTGTTTGAATGACCTCAGACTGACGTGCACCTCAACTGTCCTCACCTGGCTGAGCATTAAACTCACGTGACATCACACCAGGGTAACCACAGAGGTAACCGGAAACAGTGCGTGTTTGGTGACATTGCTGATGATCGATTCTCAGACGGGAGCTGATCTCTCACACGCACCGGGGCCATTCTGCAGACGGTCCCCGGGTTCTGGGTCCGGACGGCCGGGGAGCTGGGCTCGGCCCGGTAAGCTCTCCGGGCCGCCAGCTTCCAGCCTCCCGGTAATGGCGTCCATCCTCCGGCAGGAGTCAGCACGTAGCTTCCGCTGGCACGAACCGCCGGACCGAGCGCGAAGGTTTCCCGGTGAAACCCGTCTGAGCGCCGCGGAGACCAAACCGGAACAAACCGGATGGAACCGGATAAAAGACCCGAGCGAAAGTCTCCGGACGGCACACGTGGAGCGTTTAACGGCTTTAATCCGACAAAATGATGACACGTAAAAAGGTCGAGCTCGAGTTTACCCGCGGTGCAGGAGCACCAGAACCCCCGAACCGCCGAACCCTTTACCCGCAGAACCGGAGCTTTGTGCGGGTGGGACGGGCTGCAGCTGCCCCACAAGCCTCCGCTGCAAAGCCGCCATGAATGTTGTGGCGACTCGGGGACGAGCGAGCAGAAAAACCCAGAAATGCGTTTAAAATCGGAACCTGGCGCTTACCTGCTGGTTCGGACAGAAAGCCGGGGTGATTCTGCACGGCACCGTGCCGGTTCGGCTGCTTTCGGGACCGTGGAAGTGTGTTTTTTTCAGCCGTAAACCCCGGGGAGTCAGGTCGAAACGAATCCGACAAAAGGAGCGTCTAGTCCGGTATGAAACTCCGCCCAGCGCCGCAGGGGGAGGAACTCCGGGGGAAAACATGAGGACAAAGGCGGAGGATGAAACCAGAGACAGCGGCCACAGCGGCAGCCAGCCCCGCTGGAGCCGCAGCACACGCACTTTTTAACGGACGCTATTTTACATTTACGCCGTTTTCACTCAAACCCAACTGCGACTGCGTGGTCCGAGCCCTCCCCGCCACCCGCCACCCTCTCCGGGTCCAGATGCTGAAGCGGTGGGAGGCCCGGGGACCGCCGGCTGGCCCCGGCAGAGATGCGGCCGGGGGCCCGCGGAGCACAGCGGATGCTCCGGGAGGAAACCGTCGGTGCTGCCGGCAGCTCGGGGCTCCCTCCACGGCCCGGCGCGGTGCTGATCGCGGGCTGAGAGGCGGCAGAGGAGCCCGCTAAGAGCAGCCGAGTCCCCGTGATCAGTGAGGTCATCATCTGAATCCGCACCTGCCGCAGGTGGGGTGAGGTGGTTCTGCTTTTTGTCCTAATAAACTTTTTTATTTAGAATAAAACCAGCCTTTATTGTGAGTTCTTGTGACTTTAATTCTGGAGTAAACTCGGAGGACCCTGCCACCTGAGGTGAGGACAGGTGCACCTCACCTGTGGGACTCTGAGGTCTGAGCTGGGGTCCGGTTCTGGTGGACCGTGGAGCCCTCACAAACACAGCCAGTGGCCCCTGAGCGCCACTGCTGGCCCGGATGTTCAGCACGTTAAAGCGACAGTGTTGGGGTAATGACGTCATCCGTACTAACAGCGCGTGCAGCAGCTTGTCTAACGATGAAGTGTCAGGCTGTGCACGTGGACAGCCCAGGATGAGCCACCAATCAGCTGATCAGGTGTCTGCAGCTGTCAGAGCCTCAACATCCTCAAGAGGAAACACTGCACACCAATCGATCGGCTCACTGACCGGTCGATCGGCTCACTGACCGATCGATCGGCTCACTGACCGGTCGATCGGCTCACTGACCGATCAACTGATTGATTGAGCGGACCCACAAAGTTGAAACTCACATATTTCACAGGACTTTGTGCAGAATTTACACTCACAGCCACTTTATTAGGTACAGCTCCTCCTCACAGCTGCTTCGTCTGCTCCCTGGGGTCCGGACACACCGACTCCTAAATCATCATTCTGACGGCTCCTCTTCATCACCCTTCATCATCCTGCTACCCTGTGATTGGCTGGTGAGATATCTGAGTTGAACAGATGCACCTAATAAAGTGACTGTAAATAAAATTAGTGTGTATTGTATTCATGCATTTTAATATATGTTTGTATTTAGTGTGTTTGAACATGTTTCTGTGGGTGACGTGAACCTCATGCTGTAAAATCTGCTGCTCTTCTCTCACACACACACAGACACACACAGACACACACTCACAGGCACTCCTAAAGCTTAATCACCAACAGCTTCATGCTCTTATTTTGAAATATCGCAGCAGGTCATGGTCAGGGTTCCTTCTTAGTACCTGAGCCTGTCACACAGCAGCGTCACACAGGTGATGCTGATTGGATAATCTGGCTGCGAGCTTGGTTGAGCACCAGTCAGACTTCCTACAGCAATAAGAAAATACGTAGTTTATTCCAAGAAGATATCGTCTCTCCCATATATAATATCTTATTGGAACCGATATGTTCCAGATATCAGGTGGAGGACAGTCTGGATGATCCCCCATAAATGTTTGATTGTAAATAAGGTGAAGGAAGTCTCATTTAAAATTCTACATAAATGTTATCCAGCCAGTCACTACATGGT